AGCGGTTCGAACCGGTTAGAACCGGTTCAAACCGGTTCGAACCGTTATTTTTTGGTCCCCGGAACTGAACCGGAGCTGAACCGAAATTCGTGAACCCGAACCGGAACCGAACCGATAAAAATTTCGGTCCGACACTGCCATGTATACATCCGGCCTCTCGCATATGATGACTTACACAGATGAGATGCCTGGATTCCTCTCAAAGGTTTTACGGTGGTCCACCCTGCTTGCGTCACCGTACGAAACTCTCGAACCCGTTCCGCAGATTGGTGGAACATGCAGACATTGGTTACTTTTTCACGTAGCGCTTCCACAAAGTCTTTAGTGGTGACAATCGTTGAGTTGAGCGAAGATCTAAAGTTGGTGAGCGTTTAAAGGAACAATGAAGGCAATTTCGGACATCGTTTTGGCGATTGAACTGGATTCCAGGCACGTCTCAGGCCACGTTGCCCGAATTTCAGCCGAAACCGGCGCTTCTGTGCCGCGCAAATCAATTAAACAGTCGCAGTAATAATCGTGCCATGATCGACTGGGGCGACGGCCCGAGAGTTGCGGGAGAAGCCAGGAGAAGCGGAGCTCACGTGACCGATGCGGGGCCAAGAAGCGCGACGTCACAAGAGACGCGTCAGCGATTGGTCGAAACGAGAGACGTGCCCTCGGTCACGTTTTGGTTCGCGATTTTTAGAAATACTGTTCTAATTTCCGCTTGAATAACCGTGAAAAGTATAACTCGGACCGGAAATGATTACTAAACCGTAAATAAAGCAGCACAATTGTTTTTTTCTTTGCTACGCTGGACGCGAAATGGCCAACGAGCAACTATGGGCACTTCGGCATGCGGGCCGCTCGTTACCGGCTGGGCGGTCTCCGTCGGGTGATGTCGGAGGCCGCCACACACGTACTCCCGTTCCGTTTGTGTTGGGTCACTGAATGGAAGCTCGAACTCGCTCGCGAGAGCGGCATTGCCGTCCATGTTGACAGATTCGACGAAACGACCGCGCCACCGCGCTGTTATAACCCACCGCGGTAACCAAAGTCTCGATCTCCTAAATGCTACCGATACCGACTATTCACACTTGACGTCACTCCCTACGTCACCTCCATTTTCGGAGGCCCAGAAACGAGAATGGAGATTGTTCAGTTTCGGTTTCTTTACTTCTTTCGTAGGCACAGACATACGCGTCAGAAATGTCTACAAAAGATTGGGCAGCGTGCTTGTTCCCAAGAAGCATAAAAACACCATTTAAAAAAATTAAATAAAATCGTCTTCATTGTTCCTTTAAGAACACCACCTACTCCATCATAAGCATTTTTTTTTTTTGTCCAGTAGCTGAAACGATTTATTTTGCCGAAGGGTATACGGCTTCCGAGACAATTCGTGCAATTGGAAGCTGTTTTTGAAATGCGCCGCTGCTCCGCCTGATATAAAAAAATATATCAGAAAAGACAGGGTAACGTTCATCAACATACTATTTTATGGCCTCTGTGGCTGGAACGGCGTGAGCTGTGTCATGTGTCGTGTCATCACTGACAACGGCAAAGCTTTGCGTGTCTTGCGTGGACGTAACCACACATGTGAAGAGAGGCACTTGGGTGTTTCTCCAATGAAAACTCTGCAGTTCGGTTGAGAGGATGACCAATTTTCCGCGCAATCGAAGTGGAACATCACTGCCTTGGGCGGTAAGGCGGTTATTGTGTCACGTATCAGGCTTCGTCGAAGGTCACGGTTGTCAGAATGCCTCATATACTTTTCGCTCCATGACTTCAGTTCCCGCAGGAAGGCGGAAGTTCCCACAACCTTTTTGACGAGTTCGCCGGCTTCCAATAACGCGAAACAGATTTCTTCGTCTTCGTCGAGATGGAGCGGCTGCAGCGAGATGCTGTGCATTTTTGGACACTTTTCGCAACGTCGCAGGAAGCAATCGTTCTGTGGTGCGCTGCAGAAGTAGATGCGCTTGAGGTTGCCTTCAGTAAATGTATTCTTTGAGGCGCATGCATATATTGTCGCAATATATGCATGCGCACACCTCGTGCTCAAGACTCCTTTTTACCCATTTTGGCCGTAGGGAATACAATATGGAGATGCCTAGTTCTCGATAAGGATGGTCCTTCCTTTTAAACCTTTCTAAGACTGTACTTTTTGTCGTTGATCATGGCTTTGACAACGTCCTTTTTGTTGGGGCTTTGAACAAACCATGTGACGACGTCGCGTGTGTAGTAATCAAATGCAACCCTCACGGTCTTCAGCATTCGCCTTTTTCCCCATGTAGGTATCAGGGGTTGCCTATACGAAACCTTTACGCTTCAGTTCCCTTGTTTCATCAACCATGTACGCAGTCGCTTCCGGCACCAGACGCAACATTTCTTTCTTCGAGATACTTGGTGGCAGAAGGGTGTGCAATCGCTTGCGTTCCTGGTGGGAGCTGCATGCCTTCAGCGCTTCGCGCAACACGTCAAAACACCCCGCGCAGTGGTGACAACTGTCTTCACTGGTTTTCACGCCATAAGCACTTGACAGCTTTCTTCTAATCGAAGAACTCACTTGAGTTTGTGTTTTCTTCATATACGCTTCGCGCCTTCTTTTAATGGTTTTACGTGGTTTCAGTGGAGTTACCGATGGACTAGCAGCAAACAAGTCTTGACTCACTTCAGCCACAATTTCATCAGAGTCCCGGAAAGAAGAGTTTAATGTACTCACGTTGTGAGAAGAAGCAATCTCATTCTGGAGGTATTTGTATCAATGCTGGCACAAGTGGTCAGATACGTTCACTGTCCGTGAAGCCAGTAGCTTTTCCAACCGCACTTTGTTGAGTCTGCCTACCGGTACGAGGTGCTTATCGCTATACACTTTCTTCTTGTGTCTCCGTAGATAGTCCACACAGAAAAATCGCATGGTGCTGAATCGCGGGCCATGGCTGTTCGATCTGACACTAAGCTCTTACTCACTTCGTAAATGACAGAGCTTGAAACGTCCTCGCAAACACCTATTTGAGAGGTCAGAGTTTCGAAAGAAAATGTCCTTGTGGTTATCAACTTCTGTCTTTACTCGTAGATATAATCAGTGCGTCGCGCATGGTTAAGCTGGTGTTGTCTTTTTGCAGTTCTACTTATTGAGCACCAAATACACCGAGTCCCCTGTAAGCATAGAGATAGTCAGCCGTCTTTTTTTTTTAATCACCCTGTGAAAGTTTACTTTATTACAATGTTTTTGGCGTTTTCTGTGCTTCAGTTTTAGTTGTGCAGAATTTTATGGCAGTAAACTTGGAGAGGGTGTTTAGGGCTTCTGTCTCGGTCGGTTCACATAGCGTGGAGAAACTCATCTGTTTCGGCCCTTGAAGGTGCCCGTTCCCGTTGCTGTCCTTAAACTTGGAGTGTTTAGTTTGTCTGGTTAGGTTGGGTCAAGGCTTTGCGGTCGTATGTTTTTATCTTCTTATTCTTTTCTTTCTGTGTGGACATGCATTTATTGTCGTTCTTCTTGTGAATAAGCTCAGCTGCGTTTGAGATTTTCGTTTCGCACTGTCCGTTATTTTTGTTTTCTTCTCGTCTCAGGATTTAGATTGCAATGTTTCCTGACCAACTGACCTGCATATTTTCCCTTACAACTACTCTCGCCTTAATTACCCGCAACTTACTCTTCACGTATTTAGCTTTTCGTTTCAAGATAATGCAATGTCCTTCCGATTCGTAACTGCCGCCAGAAGTGACGTTCACAGGCGTTTCTTGTTCGATATAAAGGGTGGGAAAAATGGGAGAGAGGTGACACAACGATAAAGCAATGCTCGCAGCAGCAGAACTCCCCGCTCTCTGTGATAGAGTCCCGCTTTCCAGCTTTTGACGATTCCATGAAGGCAACGTTATGCGGCTAAGTCGTTATAACGAAGACGTCGGCTTGCTCCGAGTGAAGGCTTGTCGTAGCTTTTCCCTTTCGGAGGTCATCTGTTACTCAATGTTTTGCTATCACAGGTTAGTTCAAGTCACTGCAAAGAGCCAAAGGGAGTTAAAAAAATAGTTTTTTTTTTTTTAAATATCGACGCCCAATCTTGCCACATTTTGAGAAACCAGCTGCATTTCCGCGTTAATAACAAAAAGACAATTAAGGGTGGGCATATTATCTTTACATATTCGTAAACAATATTTAAAGACGTGCATTTTGATATGTTTTGTGAAGCATTATGAAAGATGGTTTATTTGCAAAAATACGTGAATATGTCCAAAACGCGTTTTTATGCCAAGTTTGATTTTTTTTGTTTGCATAGAAATATTTTATTTATATTTTTACTTTTTGTGTTTGTATTGTATATCTCTTGTAAAATGTATTAAAAAAGCTATGGCGACGTGAAAGCATTAATTCGAAAATGACGACTGTGCAAAGTAGCATCGTGAACTATTCTCAATTTCCACGCCTCGAGGTTCTCTATTTTATATTTCAGCGAAATTAATTGTTACGGCGTTCAATGTTCCTCCCAAGAACATGGCGTTCATATATATTTTCAACAAAAATATCAAAATTATGACCAGGACCATCATTGCACCCTAAAGTTGAAGTAATAAAAAGATTATGTGTTTTATTCCAATCGCAGAACTTATTTAAGATAGCAATATTTGAACTCTACTAAGAAAATTGGATATAAATAATTCATTATTTGTTGTGGCTACCACACAGCCGGATTATTAAATAGTTTAACCGACAAATTCCAAAACATAGAGTCAGCATTCAGATATGGGCTTGGTCAAATATGGCTATGTTTTTAAGTTTCAGTCGAGTAATAAAAAAAAAAAGAACCATCATAAACTCTTACTGAATAACCAAAAATTGGTGTCGGGATATTAAGGTTTTCAAAAAACACAATCTCACTAATTGCGTATAGTGCACAGGCTGTAGTCCTGACAAGTCCAAGCTACCCAAATGTTAAAAAAAGATTATGTTTAGCTTCTGTTTTAATTTGTTTCGAAATTAAACACATAGCCTTAAAATACAAAACAATGAACGCAGAGCTCACCTCGTTAATACTAGTTATGTCCATCTTGTAGTACAGGGGCATAAAGACGACGGCCGCCATCCATATAGCGACGATTGCGGAAAGCACGTTAACCCAGAGCGTGGAACCGTGCAGGAACACGGATGCCGGCATGCCCAGGGTGGCGATTGGAGACAGAAAACTGGCCATCATGGACAGTGAGACGGGAAACCATCCGAGCTGCTTGTTGGCCGTCAGGAAGGTCCTGTTGGATTGTTGACGGCGGTCGGCCCAGGCGAAGTACACGCCGATGGACATTGACAGCAGTAGGAACACGATAAGAACCACGTAGTCGGCGGCCGCGAAGGTCGGTGCGCCCATGGAGAAGGAGAGTCCCTGGGCTTTTCTGGTCAGAAAAAGTAGTCGAAGGTCATTATACAGATCATTACATTCCTTCCTTACTTAACGACCTTCCAGAGTCCGTTATGAATGTAACATCCAACAGAATACCTAAAAGAATAGTGTCAGTCATATTAATTCGGCCATCGTAACCTGACCGCTGTCGGTTAAAAAAAAACACACAAAAAAAAAACAATGTTTATATTTTGAGGTGTTTTTGTTTTATGTGATGGACTATTTATATTGGTTTCTTTTATGTTTCTTGGCATCTTTGCTGATTTGTGAGTGTTCGTTAATCGTTCCAGTGTGACTTCGCTGGTATTGCGAAGTGTTTATTGGTTCGATTACCATATGGTGTTAGTCTTTGTGTAATTATACTATGTATTTCATTGGTCGCCTGGCCCCACATGCAGGCAAAATGCTGCTTTCGTGGGCCAGTTTTTTTTTTAATTTTTGTATGACTTGTTTGGAAAAAAATTCTTATTATTCTTATTTAGAACAGTGGTTCTCAAATGGGGGTCCGCGTAGGCATTCGAGGGGTCCGCGAAGCCCTGCCTAAGCAGTCAAGCACGGCAATAAATACTGTCTTTTTTAAGATTGAGAAGAAACGCTCCAATTTTAAGGTAAGTTTTCTCAAGTATATTTCAACGAGAAAAGTCTACTTCATACAGCCCTTAGTTATATTCTTTTATTAAATCAGTAACATAATTAACCAGTACCTCCCTCCCCCCCCCCCCCCCCACACACACACAAACGGGGTCCTCCATCCTCTCCGCCGATCCACAAGAGGTCCGCGAAAGATCAATGGTTGAGAAACACTAATTTAGAACATCGGCAAAATCGGCAGAAAACAAAAATGACCGATATGGAATTATGCTGTAAAGTCAACTAATTCGTTGCAAGAAACAAAATAAACAGCGAGCTTGTTAGAAAACAACATGTCCTGATCTCCGTTATTTTATTTCAGGTTCTTTTCAATGCTATGTCAACTAAAATTTGGTTTGTCGATAAAGGGGATGTCTTTCACTTGCCATCCTATAAAAGCTCCAGTTTGAAGTGCACCGGTCGTCGTGGTGGGGGAATGTATACGATAATTGACGGAAGTATGGCCTGTCAGCCATTATCTAGTTTTTGCTTTATCACTAAGGGCCATGAAGCTCTTTCCTTGTTTTCTTAGTTTCTGTATTTTACCTTAGCTTAGTGTCTGTATTGTACCGCCCACCTGATGGCAAAATTTCAAATTTTATTGCTTCTCTCGACACGCTGCTGGGATTTTGTATACATAACTTTTGTGTGGTGATTGGAGGTGATTTTAATATTAACAAGCTACAAAATTCTACGCCTAAAAGATTTAGATATTCCACTAGCAGCATATAATTATTCAAATGCGATAAGCTGAACAACTAGAATGAGAGGGTCTACAGAAACTATTTTTTTATTTTTTGTTACGAACGTCAATAACCCTCGTGCGACGAGCGGAATTCTTAGTTATAAAATCAGAGCCCATTTACCAATACCCTTGTGCATATTAGGTAGATATTAAATTAAAAAAAAAATTAGTGTCAGTCATTTTTGAAGAATCACCCTTGATAACATTTTCAAGTTTCGTGAAGGTATTGAGAATAACAATTGTGCTGACATTGTTATTGCTACAGACCCAGATGTGGTGTATAATACTTTTCTGGAGGTGGCGAAGAAACTGTACGCAAGCAATTTTACGCATAAGAAAATTTGAACCTCGAAAGAATTCGAAAGCAAAAAATGACCTCACACCTCTTAGCTAAAATATATGTAAAGACCCTACTCTTCTAAAGATTTATCAAAACGAAAATCTGACAGACCTAAAATTCTTTTTAAATTTTGTTGCACACAAATAACAAAAGAAACTTAGAAAGGAAAACCATGCTACTGTTACAAAAACCTAGAGCCATAAAATGGACGTGTGGATGTTATGTGGCAAAATATTAATTCAGTTCCACAGTTCGACCTGTAGCTTCATATTGTTGAAACGCTTTCTAATAATGGTAAACCACTTACAGGTATTGCTTTAGTTAACACATTTAACAAGCATTTTGTAGATTTACCTAGACGAGCTTACAGCCGTGAGGCATGTTCTTAAAAGAGGAATGAGAATGCTACTTTATAGATCCTGTGATTGGCGCCGATGTGTTTTCAGTGTTTATGAATTTAAACAATACTATATGTGGAGATTCGGATGACATTAAAATCAAACCAGTAATATATGTTCTAGACGTAATTACACATTATATTACACAAATTTTCAACTTGTGCATATTGACAAAAAAATTTCCCTTTCGTATGCGGGTAGCTGTGCTACATGGAAAGGGAGATATAAATTGTAACAGTTACTATAGACGCGTATAAATAATACCCTTTTTCAAATAGTATTGAAACGATTATTCATAACCGCTTCTTTAATTTTTTTTTCAAAACACGAAATGATTACAAGATCTTAGTTTGAATTTAGAAAGCATCTATCCACAAAACATGGGTTACTTGATGAGAAATAATTTATTTTAAGAAATATTGAAGATACGAATCTAGTGCTTGGAATTTAAAGACTTCATTAAGGCTTTCGATTATCTAAATCTTGAATCGTTAGCAAAAATTGAGAATTTTATGTGGTTCGTTGCCAAGCATTAGTTCTTCATGAATCCCACCTTAGATATCTCAATTAATGTGCGTGGTGTGGTTCTTTTAACACCACAATATATCCGGTAGTATCAAAAGTACCCCAAGGGAGTATTTTAGGACCATTTATTGTTTCCGTTCATGTCAACGATATGGTGAAAACCAGGGATGGGCAAAATACATGCAAATACGTACCGAAATACAAATACAAAATACTTCGTCAAAAATTTATTTAAGTACAAATCTAATTACATTTCCAAAAAAGAATTTAAGTACAAGATACAAATACAATGTATTTGGTCTCCTCCAAATACTTTTCCAAATACATTCCTCAATATTAGCGTCAGCGACTTCAGGGCACCTGTAACGGGTTTCTGGGTATCTCATTTTAATTTTTGCATCGCACACTCGGGAGTTAGTGCGCGAGGCTCTAGTAATGTAATAGAAATATAATCCAAAAAAAAATGTAATCAGCTTGGACGTAATAGGTGAAAAAAGTACAGAGCTTCAGGCAGCTTTTTTTTCTCGATTACATTTTGGTATAGACCAACGAAGAACCGAGACGACCAAGACGCGCAGCACTAGCTAAAGAATTTTTTATTGTTGCAACTCGCACCAGTCACGAAAATCTGGACGACCTGCGCATTTAGAATATTCCAGGCAAAAATATGGATGGAAATGGGGCTGGAAAGCATCACAAGTTGTCACAGGCACTTATTTAGCCAGTCTGCCTGTGAACGTCGATTTCGTCACTATTCTTGCCCTGGACTAGCACCGTAATCACAAAGTCACTAAACGCTTGCATTCGGTGCAGAACGTAGTTTTCTTCCTGCTCTGGACAGTGACAATAAATTTGAGGGATGTATTTTCGCCCACAAAATTGTATTTAATTACAATTGTATTTGAAATACCCACGTTTTAGTATTTAAATACACACGTCAAATACAATACCCAATATGTAATTAAATACAAATGCAAAATACGCAAAGTATTTGAAATACGTATTTAAAATACTTGTATCTGAAATACTGTCCATCCCTGCAAAAAAAGCATTTAAGTACAAGATACAAATACAACCAAATGTATTTGGTCTCCTCCAAATACTTTTCCAAATACATTCCTCAAAATTTGCGTCAGCGAGTTCAGGGCACCTGCAACGGGTTTCTGGGTATCTCATTTTAATTTTGCATTGCAAACTCTCGGGAGTTAGTGTGCGAGGCTCTAGTAACGTAATAGAAATATAATAAAAAAAATGTAATCACCTTGGACGTAATAGGTGAAAAAAGTACAGAGCTTCAAGCAGCTTTTTTTTTTGTCGATTCCATTTTGGTATAGACCAACAAAGAACCGAGACGACCAAGACGCGCAGCACTAGCTAGAGAATGTTTTATTGTTACAACTCGCACCAGTTACGAAAATCTGGACGACCCGCGCATTTAGAATGTTCCAGGCAAAAATATGGATGGAAATGGGGCTGGAAAGCATCACAAGTTGTCACAGGCACTTATTTAGCCAGTCTGTCTCTAAACGCCGATTTCGTCAGTATTCTTGCCCTGGACTAGCGCCGTAATCACAAAGTCACTAAACGCTTTTGCTTGATTGAGAGACACTGCATTCGGTGCAGAACGTAGTTTTCTTCCTGCTCTGGACAGTGACAATAAATTTGAGGGATGCATTTTCGCCCACAAAATTGTATTTCATTACATTTGTATTTAAAATACCCATATTTTAGTATTTAAATACACACGTCAAATACATTACCCAATTCGTAATTAAATACAAATGCAAAATACACAAAGTATTTAAAATACGTATTTCAAATACTTCTATTTGAAATACTGCCCATCCCTGGTAAAAACTAACCATCTTGTTAAATTCACGATATACGCTGACGATACCACCATTCTCTTTGCTGCTGATAAGTTAAATTAACTTGCCTCTCTGGCTAAGAATGTATTAAATAAAACAGGCCTATAGACTAAAAAAATACATCTGAAAATAAACAGCTATATTACAAAGCTTATTCATATCGACCTGAAAATGAAGAAATTACTTCAATAGGTTGCATTAATGTAAAAGCGTTTAATGTTGAAATAGTTGTCCCTGCAAAACTACTGGAGTTGTGTTTTAACAAGTAATATTATGATATCATCACGTTTAGT